GAGAGAGCTCAGCAGGGTATACGGGTTGGGGACTGTAGGGTGGATATCCTCTACCCTGTTAACTTCTCTCAAATCCTGCACTGGGCAGAAATTGTTAGTCCCCAGTTTCTTGATGGGTAACAGAGGGGTGTTCCATGGAGATTGGCATGGAACCAGAATACTGAACTCCCTAAGGCAGTTTATATGTTTAGTAATTCCTGCCCTGGCTTTGAGAGTCATCGGGTACTGTTTTACAGGCTAAGCATTAGTTTTTAAAGTCACCATTATTGGTGGCTGTTGGATGGCCCTCTCTGAGGGATTAGTTTCTGCCCAAACTCCAGGGATTGTTGCCTGAAGGTCCCTGAGGATAGTGGTTGGTCTCTTTTGAGGGGGTGGGGCATGCACTCTCCATTCTTCTTCTAATTGTAAACATAGGATATAGGCTGCATCTGGTACAGTCACATCAGGAGGTCCTCTCCCAGAGAAATGAATCTGAGCCTTCAATTTATTTAGTAAACTCCTACCCAATAGGGATACAGGCACTCTGGGCACCATACAGGCACCATAAAGGAGTGTGAAACTGTCTTCTTACCTAAGTTTACACCTCTTTTGGTCCAAGGGTGTTGAGCAATTCACATGGCCCCTTGCACCCAGGTGCGTTTACTGGTCAATTTTCCCATAGGCTCTTTTAAAACTGAATATTGTGCTCTGGTGTCAACTAAGAAGTCGATGGTTTGTCCCTCCACTTGTAGGGTCACCCAGGGCTCATGGTGGAGGTTTACCAAGCCCGGGCCTTTTCAGTTTTCTAGGTTTGCCAACTCGAGGATCTTGGGCTTGGAGGGAGGCTGGGATCCTGTCCTTTGAGGACATTCCTTAGCCCAGTGGCCCAGCTGCTTAAAATATGCACACTGGTCTCTTTTTAGGTGGGGCTGACCTTCCTGTGGGGGTCGCAGGGCTCGGGTTCCCTTTTGCATAGAGGATTGGTCCCCCCATTGGGATTTGTTGCTCTTTCAGCCAACAATATCCTAGCCAGCCCTTTTGTTTGTCTTTCTTCAGGGGTTTCTCTGTTATTAAATACCTTGTTCGCCACTGCCATCAGCTCAGAAAGGTTTTTGCCCTCAAAACCTTCCAGTTTTTTAAGTTTTTATTTTATGTCTGGCGCTGCCTGATTTACGAAAGCCATATTGATGGCCATCTAATTCTCTGGGGCCTCTGGATTTATGGGCGTATAAGTTCTGAAAGCCTCTAACAAGCATTCCAGGTATGCTCCAGGAGAATCATCCCTTCCCTGCATCACCTGACTGACCTTAGACAAATTGGTGGGGCACTTAGCAGCTGCCTGGAAACCACCCCCCATGAGAATCTGGCGATAGATCTTTAGGCGTTCCCTACCTTTGGGGGTGTTATAGTCCCATCCCTCCATTGGGTGTGTGAGAGGGAAAGCAGCCACAATCAAATCCTCAGTCTCTGTCAGTTGCCCATCATTTCCAGGGACCGCATATGTGCATTCCCAAAGGATGTGGTTCCATTCCTCGGTGGTGAACAGGATATTCAATAACTGTTGGCAATCATCCCAAGTGGGTTGATGGATAAAAAGAACAGTATCCAGGGGGGAAATCAGGGCCTGAGGCTTCTCCGTGAAGGAGGGAATCTGTAACTTTCAATTATACAAGTCACTAGTAGAAAAGGGAAAGTAGACTACTGGGGTAATTCCATCCTCCCTCGGGGGCCCAATCTCCCTCAGGGGAAGAGCTCTTACAATTCTCCCCTCCCCCTTGGAGCGAGTGTGCATTGGGCTGGGCTTGGCCACGGGAGGTGCTGGCTCGGCCATGGGAGCTGGGGACAGAGACCAGGAGGGACTGGAAGAAGAGGAAGATTCTCATGACCTGCGCTCCCTAGGTCTATCCTGAGCACTCACTGGGGCCCCGTAAGGTGGCGGGAGTAAATCTTCCTCTGGTGCCGAGGGAAGAACCTCGGGACCCAATGGGTTTTTGGTCCGGACTTTCTTCAGGAGAAACAAAGTGGCTGGCCCCTTAGGCCCCAATGGTGGAGGCAGCAGTAAGGGATGCAGCCAGTGGGGGGGACAGCAAAGAGATATCACCAACCTAGGATGTATGGGATCTGGTCAGGGTGCCCCGGTTCCCCAAAGATAACTCCTTGAACCATGTAGATGAGGGACAGGTTAAAGGACCCTTCAGGTGGCCATTCAACTTCAAAGGAGGGCCATTTGATGGTACAGAGGGTCTGGAGGCAGGTCGGCTTGATACGGAGTCCAGACGTGTTCAAAGCCGCTCGTTTGTAGTCCTAAAAATGACTAAGAACTAGATCAAGGGGAGCTGAAGATGATTAGACTTTCTGGCCCATCCTGGGATAAGCTTCAAGAAAAAAGAATATAAGGAGAGGAATGAGAATGAGAATAAGTAAGATGGAAAGTCAATAGATAAGGTGGAGCTCTGAGCAGAGGGTGAGGACAGTATGAGATGGTGGTTCCCTAGAGGGAGAAATGAAAATCTTGCAGCGCATGGAGTCAGCCAAGAAGGCTGCCCCTGTTCCTTTCCTAAAAAGATTTGGCCAGCCTGGATTCCACATCAGACTCAACCAGAACCTTGCGTCTGGCCTGTCCGGATTCCATGTGGGACTGGGCCAAGACTCTGGCTTGGTCCCGCCTTGATTCCACATCAGACTGGAGTGTGACCCCTCAACAGAAGAAGAGTCGGGGTGTCCCCCATTCTCCTCCAGCTCTGGGATCAATAGCGTGTCCACCTGATCTCCATTGAGCCCCAGGATGTCCAGACTACCAGAGAGAGAGAGAGAGAGAGAGAGAGAGAGAGAGAGGGAGAGACAAAGACCAGCAGAACTTACCAAGGCTGGATCTGGTGGTGCTTCCGTGGGTCTGGGGTCTCTATTCTAGAATCCCAGACAAGCCCCCACAGTGTTAGGGTTCGAGAATCAAGAATAATTCCCACAGATACCCAAAAAGATTATATTAAAAGTTTATTCAAGAATTTAAAGTAAAAAAAGACAACAACCAAATGGCAGCTAGCCAAGCACAGACTTCATGAGCCAAAGATGGAGTCTGGCCCCAAACAATAGCAGGCAGGAGCTTTTATTGGGGCACTCCAAAGAAACCCGTGCACGCCAAGCATCTTTTTAAAATAATTGGATGTTTGCATATCCTATGTATGGGGAAAGTCTTGATTGGTAGGGGCTATCTTCAGAGCATTGGAATATGCTGACTAATATCTTTTAGAGTCAGAGGTTTTGTTAATACCTTATAAGGCTTTTACATGTACAATATGCCTGAGCTTGTCTGGGCTTGTCTAAAGAAGCTAGCCAAAATGGAGTCAGAGCATTCTGGCTCTTCAGTTTTTTTGTTATTGTTGTTTTTATTTGTTTTGGGGTTTGTTTGTGTGTGTGTGTGTGTGTTGTTGTTGTTGTTGTTGTTGTTTTTAATGTGTATGAGTACATTGCCTGCTGGCATGTAAGTGCACCCTTGTCATGCAGTGCCCATAGAGGTCAGAAGTGGGGTGCTCTTAACTGCTGAGACATCTCTCTAGCCCCCCAGTCTTAAAATTTAAAAGAAAGGAATATACTCAATGGTAAAGCTCTTACCTAGCATGCACAAGACTCTGGGTTCAGTCACCAGTAACATTTTTAAAAATAAGGAAAATTTGGAAAGCAATATCCTTTATAGTTTAAGATACAAAATTCAGAGAGGAGCCAGGCATGGTGGCACATGCCTATAGTCCCAGCACTTGGGAGGCAGAGGCAGGTGGATCTCTGTGAGTTCAAGGCCAGCCTGGTCTACATAGTGAGTTCCAGAACAGCTGGGGCTACAGGGAGACCCTGCTTCAAAAAGATTTAAAAAAAAAATTCAGAGAGGCTAGACCTCTGAAGGCTGGACTGAGGTCAGGTAAGATCTGCAGGGGTACTACTGGTGCAGCCTATGAATAGATATGTACAGACTAGATGCAGATCCTGGTTGTCACAAATAAGGAGAGGTTACTGAGAAGATGGAACTGGCAAACCGTAGTGGAAGGGCATCCTGCATCATGGAGGGTCCCTGACTGGAGCTCAACAGGAGTCCTTCCAGGCTGTCAAAGTGGTCTAAACAGTATAGGAGGCAATAAGAATGAATGAGAAGAGTAGGGGGCTGGCATGTATGTGTGGCAGTTAGGGGAAGGCTCTCTAGCAAAGCCAATGGAGAAGCCATGTGGAGAGTGTTTCAGATGGGCCAGCACCATACCTAAGAACCCCTTGGCTTCCCTAAAGTGAGTGAGCATCCCCACAATTACAGCAAGCTTTCACCTCTCCATGCTGGTGAATTCTGAAACTAAGTCTAAATACCATTAGCCGACACTGACAGAATGCAAGAATGCATTCTAGGAGGGTGGGGGCATAGGATAAAGTGTGTGACAATATAATAAAGCTGGGCTGACAAGATTATTCAATGAGTGAGGGCTTTTGCTATCAAGGCTGACTACTTGCATTTGATCCCTGGAACTCACATGGTGGAAGGAGAGAACTGAATCCCATAAGTTGTTCTCTGACCTCTACATGTGTGTTGTGGCTCATGCACACACACAGTAAGAGAGAGAGAGAGAGAGAGAGAGAGAGAGCCTGTGATATTTCCTTTTACAGGGAGAAAGGTGAGAAGCACTTGGGTTTGGGGATATATTCTTAGAGCCAACAGCATTTGCTGATAGCCAGCTGGGTGTGAGCAGAAGTGGTAGCTGAGGGGCACCCAGAGTTTGGTTCTGAGCCAGTGGGCAAACTGAAAGTGCATTCTTGATATGTGGAGGCCTGGAGAAGGCAGGTGATTCTTGCTGATCTTCAGCTCTCATGTAACCTTGTCACCTAGGAACTCCCTCAGCCCTTCCATGGCACTTTCATAAGATCTAGGACTACCACCCAAGTGGGGTCCCTGCTCCCCTTGCTTCCTCCATAGAAAATGAAACCAAAAGTTATTCAGATCTGTCTGTTTTCCTGTTCCTCTTGTGACTTAATATTTATTTTTTCAGATTGCAGTACTAAGGAGGAGTTTCATCCCACAGAACACATTTCTGAAGATTTTGGATTACAGGTAGAAATACCAGAAAATTGTGATAGTGATGTTTCTCAGTCTCCCAAGCTTGGAGAGTTCTGTGGTAAAATATTAGAAATGAATTGGAATATCTCTGAAGGCAGAAACCTGGTACAGCCCCTCTACCAGGAGGGAGACTCCACACCAGTGACCATGATCCTTAAGGATCCCTTAGGGGAGAAAAGTCTGAATTGTAATGGTTTTGACAAAAACTTCAGTCTAAGCCCAAGTCCATTAGCATATCAGGGACTCCCTACAGAAAAGAGGCCACATTCATACAACACTTACAAGAGCTTCCGGCACAATGGGGACCTAACTGGCCAGAATGGGCTTCCTACAATTGAAACCCCATTCATATGTACTGAATGTGGGAAAACCTTCAGGGGAAACCTTGATCTTGCTCAGCATCAGATAGCCAACACTGGAGAGAAGTCTTTTATGTGTACTGAATGTGAGAAATCCTTTAACCAAAACTCTTCTTAAAAATCACTGGCAATCTTACATAAATGTGAAAGCCTACCAGTGCAGCATCACTGATGCTAGGCATCAGGTTCACCACAGCAGTGAGAAACCTTCTGTGTCCAATGAATGTGGAAAAACCTTCAGCCAGAACTCAAGCCTTAAAAAACACCAAAAGTCTCACATGAGTGAGAAGCCTTATGAATGCAATGAATGTGGGAAGGCTTTTAGGTGGAGCTCAAACCTCATCCAATATCAAAGAATCCATTCTGAGAAAAAACCATATGTATGTGACAGATATGGGAAGGCCTTCAGGCAGAGCTCAAACCTCATTAAACGCCACAGGATTCACACAGGTGAGAAGCCTTTCCAATGTAATGAGTGTGGGAAAGCCTTTAGCCAGAGTACACACCTCATAAAGCACCAGGGGGTTCACACTGGAGAGAAACCTTATGAGTGTAATGATTGTGGCAAGCCATTCAATCGCATCTCCAACCTCATTAAGCATCACAGGGTTCATACTGGAGAAAAGCCTTATAAATGCAATGACTGTGAGTCATTAGCCAGAGTTCCAGCCTTATTCAACATCGGAGAATTCATACTGGAGAGAAGCCTCATGTGTGCAATGTGTGTGGGAAAGCCTTTAGTTACAGTTCTGTGCTCAGGAAGCACCAAATAATTCATACAGGAGAGAAGCCATATATATGGGTGCAGTACCTGTGGGAAGGCCTTCAGCCACAGCTCAGCCCTCATCCAGCATCAAGGTATACACACTGGAGATAAGCCCTATGAATGCCATGAATGTGGAAAGACCTTTGGCCGCAGCTCCAACCTCATCCTTCACCAACGAGTCCACACTGGAGAAAAACCTTATGAATGTACTGAATGTGGAAAAACCTTCAGCCAGAACTCAACCCTCATTCAGCACCAAAGGATTCATAATGGATTGAAGTCCCATGAATGTAATCAATGTGGCAAAGCCTTCAATCGAAGTTCAAATCTCATTCATCACCAGAAGCTCTACATGTGCTTTGAATGTGGTAAGAGCTTCAGCCAGAGTTCACACCTCATTCAACATCAAATAATCCACACTGGAGAGAGGCCCTATCAATGCAGTGAGTGTGGAAAGGCCTTCAGTCAGCATTCAGTCCTAATTCAGCACCAAAGGATTCATACTGGGGTGAAGCCCTATGACTGCTCTACTTGTGGGAAAGCCTTCAGCCAGCGGTCAAAGTTAGTTAAACACCAGTTGATTCATATCAAGGAGTAGCTTGTGGGCTGGGAGAAGTATAGCTGAGCCATGATTCCTCTCTGATTCCTCTGGCCCTTGTTTCAGTCTCTGTCCTTCTCAGATTTATAGTCCAAGCTCACTGCCTTCTATTCTGTGCCCAACTGACACAAAGCCTAGAGCCTTCCTTTGAAACACCCTTCAAGGTTCCTTTCCCTTCCTGTTGCTGCCACCGCATGTGACCCCTTCTCTGTTTTTATAATTTGAGAACAGACTCATATTTTTCAAGAGGAAGAACTTACAAAGTTTGCATATTCATGAAGAGTTTATTATTGTAATAAAAAGGTTTCCCAAAAGAAGTAAAGTGACCCGTGGCCAGAGATAACCTCAGTAATTCTTTTGTTCAGCAATTAGTCATGGGGGGGGTAAATTTTCATTCGGTGTCTAGCATTGATGTTTTGTTTACATAAGATCAAGTTGAGGGTTGTTAAGGTCCAATTACCATTGTCCCTGGAAGTAGCACTCTGATTCCTTGCACCAAAACTCTTCTGCTGTCTGCTTTTATTCATATTTTCAGTTGGGTTAGCTTCCTCCTCCCATTGCTCTGCTCTGCTGAGCCTCAAGACCCATCCCCAGTTTCTGTGCCTCATGGGTCAAAACCTCAGAGTTCATCTCTTCCTCCACAGGCTTCTAGGAGTAATCTTTTCACAGATGTATTCATCATTAGATATTTTGGGAATACTTTCTAGGTTCCCTTCCTTAGGTCCCAATACACCAGTCTCTTCGTCTTCAGTTTCCCAGAGTTATGCCCTATTCTCTGAACAAGGAAAAAGCTCAGGTGCAACATACTTGTCCCCAGAGAGGTCCCTGGACCCAAGCTAGTAAGTAGACATAAAACAGTGTCATGGGATTCAAATTTAGCCCTCCTCTTTCAGTATGTAAAGATTTGTTGGGAGACACCCATTCCCATTTGCATATATATGTGTATGGCAGAATTGAGTGTTGTGATATACACCACATGCTCCACAAAGCTAGAATAATCACTTTCTGGTCCTTTGCAGGAAGAGTTTGCCAACCCTGCTATAAAATGCTACTTGTGAGCATAGGTGGCTCTCAAGACTGGGCTTTGCCTAGAGACTCCAAGTTCTTGCGGGAGTTGAGATGTGTTTTGTGATCAGATGCATAATATGCTGTGGTGTGCTTACTTAAGAACAGTGGGTAGTTCCTGCCAGGTCCCATGACCACAAAGTGTTCCTCTCTTACTACCCCTTCTGTAGCACAACAGATTCTTGGAAGAGGTATGGGACCTCGTATAGATACATGAGTTCTTGCGGCAATCAAAGTTTGATGAAGACTGAAAGATCTAATGTGTGTACACTTTCTAGTCTTTGGAAACTTATCTTGAGTATTTTCATTCATGGAATAATGGAATCTCAGAATCACAAGAAAAGCCAAGCTTCCAGGAAAGATTCCAGACCCATCCATACAACTGTGTATCCACTTGAGAATCCCACTGCTATGATGTGACCCAGGTCAGATGGTAGGTGTCAACTTCCCTGTTTATGCTTTGACAGAATGTCCTGTACAGCTGTATCAGCACCATTATCATGTACTGTCCATTAGAGGAAAGGAAGTGTGGGGTAAGAATACTATGCTGGAAAGAGAGACTTCCCAGGGTAAGGCATAAGTTCCATGGAGTTTAGGATAATCATAAGTGATAGGTGTCTTCTAGAACTGGCATGATTGTGATTTTTTACTTTTTGAAGTAATTTCACATAAAAAATAGTAACACCCCAAGGAACACCAGAGTCCTCAGTTAACATTTGTTTAATCATGTTCTTCTGTTTTTCATCTATAGACAATTTTCTGAGTCTGAGCTACAATGTGGTGCACCTTTAGTCAGCAAGTGGATGCTGACATACTTAAATATGTAAAATTTGTTACTAATGTTTTGACAATTTTCCCAGTATTTTTCTTTGTGGCAAGTAGAAATGTTTTTTCATGGTCCAGGATCCAGTCTTTCATTGCACATAGGTAGTTTTTGTGTCCTCTTACTTAAGGCTTTCTTTTATGATATTCTCATTTTTGGAGTGCACAGTCCAGTAGAATACCCTTCACCTTGGGTTTGTCCCATGTTTCCTGATGACTTTGGTAGGAACCATGGAAGAGATGTGTCCTTTGTATTTTACACCAGGAGATCTGAATTTTTTTTTTTTTTGCCCTTTCAGGTGATATTACCCTTATTGAATCTTATTTATTTGGGAGGGGTGGCATATGCATGTCACAGCACAAGTGTTATATGAATTTTTTTTTACCCTTGGAATACATAAACACCTATCCTCTCCTCATAAAGTCCTAAGGAATAAAATATAAGTCCACTAAAGTTCACCCTGGGGAACAAGGCATTTATTGAGCTTACTTACAGATTATGGAATACCCTCAAGCAGCTGCACTGGAAGGTCTTCACCCAGCATGGAGGATGGCTTCCCCATAGCTGCATAAATAGAGGCCGCCTTCACTTAACCTCGCCTGGCCTATATATTCTAACACGTCCAAAGACCTGGAAGCCACATGCAGTTAGGGCAGAGTTAAACACAAATGGCTGGGAAGAGTGACTAGAATCTTAGGTGAGGGTCCAGTGATTCTCCTCATCCCCTCCTTCTATGAGAAAATGTCAACAGTCAATAAGCCAAATCATTATGGGTTCTTTAAGTAGACACAGCTGATCTGATGAAGTGGTGCCTATTTCGCTCAGAAGACTTCTTTCTACAACACTCCACCCCTTCCTCCAGCTTTTACATTCTTATTTCTCATATCCACCAGCCCCCTTCTCAATGGTCCCTGAGTCCTGGAGCAGGTGACATAGATTTCTATTTTCCAACTCCAGTGTGGTACCAAACCCTTTTGCCCTCTCATCAATCCCTCCATCTCCAAAATGTAACTTGTGAGTCTTGGTCGTATCCTTTCTACTACAAAACACAAGTGAGAAAAGGGGGGAGCAGGTAAGGGTGGGGGAGACAGAAAAATGTCCAGAAGCTGATAGCAGTAATGATCTATGGGCATAAATACACGTTTGGAAAGCAACTTAGCCAGTAAATTATATTTAGTTAACAAAGCAATGACAGTTGTTTCTCCACTGGAGCCTATGACATCCTAGCCAGGGGTTTTTGTCTGAGCTCACAGTCTCAGATATGAATTTTCCCTGGTGGATCAAGCCTTAAGTCAATCAGAAAATTGATTCTATCTATAACCATCCAGGTCCCTATTGCACTAGCTGACACATCTTGCCTACACTTCCATGGTGTGTCACACAGAGTTTCATCACCTATAGCTGGAGCAGTACCACGGCTCCCCCTAAACTTATCTCTGATTTTTTCATACCAACTACAAGTGTTATGAGAATTCCTTCCCTAGGAAGATATAAACTCCGTATTCATAAGGTTCCAACAACAAACTAAAGTACAGTTCCAGTAAAGATCACTTGAAGAAACCAGTGAGTTTATTGGGCATATTTACAGAGCAGGGGTGAGGGGTTACTGGTAGGAGCATGAGTGATCCTAAAGAAATCACACTGGAAAGTCTTCACCGAGCATGGAGGATGGCTTCCCCATAGCTGCACAAATGGAGCCCCACAATTACTACCCTTCAATTAACCTCTTCTGGCCTATATATTCTAGCACCTCCAGAGACCTGAGGCCACGTGCAATTAGGACAGAATTGCATACCAAATGATTGGAAAGAGTGGCCTTGACTCTCAGGAAAGGGCCCAATGATTCTACTCACCCCATTCTTCTATAAGGAAATGACAAAAGTCAACAAGCCCAATGCGATAGACTCTTTCAAGTAGACATAGATGATCTGATGAAGATGGTGACTATTTTGTTCAGAGGAACACATTCTAAACAAGGAGATACAATGAAAATACTATGTACAAAAGGTAGGGGTTTATTTTCACTTTCACTGTGGCTATGTAATTCACTTCTGACAATGTGACAATTAGATTTATAAATTTTTATTGGGTTTCATGATAGTGGCTTTCCTTATCCTTGTCAGTGTCCTTTTTCATAGGTAAATGACCTCCATAAAATTCTTCAGAGGGATATTAGGAAAAGGGAGACATGAATAAATAATAACATCTGTCTTGTTTGTTCATAGATTCATTATCGTGAAGCTGAAATTTCTGAAGTATCTATGGATTCAGTGCAACCCAGTATAAATCCAATGGAAAAATGGCTTTTAGTAGTCTAAATTATGCTAATAACTCAATAATGCAGGATGTCCCCCTCCCTCATACTTCTGGACTATCTGGGGAGCACCTTGGATGGCACTAAATGAACTGCAGTGGAAGTTCAGCACACTATCAAACAGTGGGTTCAGCAAAAAAAGCTGCTGCTTTCCATTTCTTGATCAGGACATCCCTGATCAACCAGATTCAAAAGTCAACACATTTGGCCAAACTTCAAGAGGCCATCTTAGCCCTGGAAGCTTTAGCCAGCAAATATCCCCATCTGCACATTTTAATAAATTCTTGGGCCATTGCTTAAGAATTGCCCCTTTGTGGTAAAGAACTCTGGGAATGTCTTGCCTCACAGATACCTAAATTCAAATCATAGATGTGTCTACATACATTCAGACTACAAAAGATGCCTCAATATAAAGATCATTGTTCCACTCTGAGTTCTAGACATTACTGATAATAGCCAAAGCATTCTATTCATTTCTTAGAATATATAATCTGGGACACTTAAACAAGTTCAAATTCAATTAAATGAAACATGGCATGGATCAGCAGTTAAGCATCAGAAGTAAATTGTAATGAGCAGTATGACTCCTCTTTAGTGTTTCTGGCAGTGTAAGCCTCAGACTCCCTCTTCTGCTTGTGCCCCCCTCCAGATCAGCTGATAAGAAAGTCTGGGTGCTTTTCCTTTGGCTTCCTTGGGATACAAGCCAGGCAAACCTCTGCCTAGTCTTAGATACAGTCATGCTGATAGTTACTAGTCTCCTTGTTGCAACAAATTAACTGATGAAAGTAACATAAGAAA